ACCCACTCTCTCTCTCTCTCTCTCTCCTGTCCCCTGACCGACCGTTGTGTAGCTGCCCGCCCTTGAAGTCGGCGGCCTGCTTCTCCAACACACTCCGGTGCTTGACCCAGCGCATCTCCTCGTGCAGCCCACGCAACAGGAAGTCGCACATCTGCCGCAGCTGGGTGCGCACGCCGAGCTGGTCGCCGCCCAGGATGCCGTCGAGCGAGCGGAACTCTTGGGAGAGGTTGTAGCCCTGGTCGGTCTTCTTGCTGTTGACGAGGAACTGCTTGGCCACACGCGCCATGGTGGAGGTGAAGGGGCGGTTCAGGGGATCCGCATGGCAGTTGCTGATGTACTGCACACAGACAGACATCCATCCATCCACAGGCACATGAATGCATGTGTGTGTGTGTGTGACTGACCTGCATGAGGGCGTTGCACCGGAGGAAGAGCGGCAGCAGGGCGTTGAATGCCTCGGGCGTCTGGTCGGTGGGGCCGGCGGTGGCGAGGGGCCGCATGGCAGTGTTGAGACGCAACTCGGCCTTCTTGACTACTTGGGCGTACTCGGGCTTCTGCACCACACGAACAGACAAAGCGACAGAGAGTCAGACACTCGTACGTATGTGTATGAAAGTGTGTGTGGGTGTCGTCAACTCACGTCAGAAGCCGCGGCAGCCTTGGCAATCTCGATGTCGTCTGAAACACACAACACAACACAACACATACACTCCAACATCCATCGAATGCCGCCCACCTTCCCCCCTCCCTCCCTCGTTGACTCACCGCAGTCGGGCTTGATGAATGCCGGAGGCAGGAGGTGTTTCTGCTGGGCCTCGTACAACAGGTAGGCCGTCATGGGTGTACCGCTGACGTCCCCCTTGCCACGCTGGTGGTCCTGGCCGCTGCCATGCTGCACGGGCACATACACCTTTTGCGGCTGTGGGCGCGGCGCCTGGTCCGCCCCCGTGTCGGGAGGGGTGGACCCAGGTGCCGCTAGGCCACCGTCGCGCTCCTGCTGGGCCTGCTGCTGCTGCTGGGCATGATGCTTGCCGTGCGCCTGGTGTGCTGGATGGTGCTGGGGGTGGTGTGCGTGGGGCGGGTGATGGTCTCTGCCGTGTCCATGAGCGTGGCCGCCGTGCGCGTGTGCCCCGCGGCCATGTCCGTGGCCATGGGGATGGGGAGCCGTCGGGCCATGGCCGTGGGCGTGTGGAAACCCACCTCGACCTAACATGACACAGGACGCACACGGACGACCCATTGACAGAGGACCAGAGTGGGTGTGTGGCGTGTCCGCCTGTGTGCGTACCTCCGCCGCCGCCCCGTCCCGGCCTGTGTGGGCCCCCACCGCCCCGGCCCATCCGGAACTCGTGTGGGTGTCCTGTGGGTGAGCCGCCGCCGTTGCTGCCGGGGCTGGAGCCGTTGTGCTTGCTGCCCCACTCCTGGAGGGAGCTCTCCTGGATGATCGACTTGCGGTTGGGTTTGAACTCGACCTGCTGCTCCCAGAAGTTAAACTGACCACACACACACACACACACATGGACGTATGAGCGTGTGTGTGGCTAGTTGGGGGTGGGGGTGTGGGGGGTGAGGTGGGGGTGTACCCTGTGTCCGCTTCTGGATCTGTGCAGGAGGTAGATGGCGGCGTCGTAGGTGCTCATGGTGACGTAGCCAGTGTGGCACGGCTGGTTCCACCCCGAGTGCCCGTTGGGGTTCGTCTGCATACGCTTAACATGACCAAAATCTAGCCACACAAACAATCAGGGAGAGACGAGCAATGAGAACAGGTGCCGCCTTGGGTGCGTCTGCATGTGTTCCGCTTGTTGCCGGCGCGTACCGTCGGCCCACTTCTGTATTTCGTTTGCGAAGGCGTTGCGCATCTCCAGGTGCTCGCGGTCCTCCTCCGGCACGAACGAACACCAGACGGTGCGATCCTCCTCTGCAGACCGCACACGTAAAGACATGCCGCTTTCTCATCGTGTGCGTTGATTTGTGTGTGTGGACAAGGGCGTGTGCGCGTACCAGTAGGGTTCTTCTTGCGCGCCGCGATCTCCTCCTCGTTGGCTGAGGGAACGAAGCGCCCTCACACACATACACCGCAGATAGAGAGATGTGGATGCGCGTGTGTGGGTGTGCTATGTACTCAACATTCATCCACCCATCCCACGTGTGCGTACGTTTGTGTGGGGCGGGTGCGGTTCTTTCGCTAACTAGCTCTATGATCTCGCGCAGCACGTCGGTGCGCTTCTGGAAGTCGTCGTAGTCCTCCAACTGCACAGACCTGAACACATCACCCACCCCACGCGCCCACATATCAAACACGTCTGAGAAGCATGGCCTCCCTCCCTCCCTCCCTCCCTCCCTCCCCCCTCTCTCATCGCTCGGCTACTCACCCCCAGTGTCCCGTTTTGCCTCTGTAGTCGTTGCCGTGCACAGACATCTTGCCCTTGCGGGCGAGCTGCTGCTTCATGACCGTAAGCTTGGTCAGCGTGTGGCTCGGCACGAGCATCGACGACCACTGCTCGTGGTACCCCTGCTCACGGCAATACTCCAACATCAACCTACTCACACAGGAAGACCACATCCATCCACGGGGGTGTACGTGTGTGTCTTGGTGTGCCGGTGTGTGTGGCAACTGACACTATGGATCCCATGAGGGTGTCTTTGACGTCATTGTCCTTGTTGGTGGCGCCAAAGACGACGATGGCGCTGTTGCCGGAGTCCTGTTTCTCCTCTACGCCGAAGAGTGCGGCAGGGTTCTTGACGAGGCAGTACCGGAGGCAGCCCGAGCGGTGCATGCTCGACACCGTGTCCTTGGTGTAGAACTCCACCGCCTTGGCCGTCATGACGTCCACCATCAGGAATATCGCATACAGCGGCTGGCGCAACATCTCCTCTATGCTCAGAGACTGACGCATACACACGACACACACCAACACAGTGCAAGAACGGATTGCCCGTCATGGATTCCATGGATGTGTGTGTGCACGCGTACCTTGGCCCCACTCGCCTCCCGACCAGCCGCACTGTTCTGCAACGCGATGGCGTCAGGCACGTCGCCACCCACTATCAGTGCCTCGATGGTGGCGCGCGACTCGGGATCCATTGTGGGGTCGTCCAGCGCCTTCAAGTAAGTGGCGCGGTCGCCAGCAACAGCCGACGACGCGTGGGTCGATGGCGTGGGTGGTGGCGGGTGAGCGGGCTTGGGAGGCGGTAGGAACGCCCCCTGCTGCTGCTGTTGTTGCTGCTGTTGCTGCTGTTTGGCTGGTGCGGGGGGTGGGTGAGCGGGGCGGTTGTTCGGGACGATGCTGGTGGGTGTCGCAACCTCGTCAACGCCTGAACATAACACAACATACAATACAACACAAACATCACACAACACGATGATGTTGACCGCGTTGGGCTGCGTTTCCGAGCTTCTGACCTCGCTTGACCCCCGTGGGTGGCTGGGGTGGCGGGTGTGAGGGAGGGGGCTGGATGTTGGGCACACTGGGTGCCTGCTGCTGGGGGGGCTGCAGCTGCTGTTGCTGTTGCTGCTGTTGTGGTGGCTGACGGGGTGTGGGTGCGGGGACCTTGGGGAGCACTGGGTGAGAGGCACCCGCCTTGGCTACTGGGTTGATCGATGCACCTTCCTGCACACACGACACCACATGGAGGGTGATTCGCATCCCACATCCATTTATGTGTTCACCCACCCCCCCACTCACCTTTCTGAAAACGATCTGCATGAGTTGGTCCACCTTCCTATCCACCTCCCCCAGCCGCTTGTCCATCCCACGCACACACCCCTCAACCACACGACGAATGGCCTCCTCCAGCTCGGGCAGCGTCATCGTCCCCACAATCCCGCTCGATGGGCTGCTGGTGACGCTCGCATGGTGCCCCTTGCGGCCGTTGCTGCCGGCTGGAGGGGTGAAGGCGGCCTCTCCGTTGAGGTCGGCGTAGGGGCTCTGCCGCTGGTCGGTCCCGACATGGTACTGCTGCTGCTGCTGTGCTGCCTGCTCCTGCTGCTGGTCGGGGTAGACGTCGCCGTACTCGGGCGGCTGCCGCTGCTGTTGCGCGTAGTACTGCAGGTAGTCGGCGTCATACGCGTTGCCGTGTGCCTGTCCGTGAGAGGAGGGCGTGAATGGGGCGGCTTCGCTGTTCATGCAGTGGCCGCTGTCGTCATTGGAGGTGGTACGGTGGCCCTGATAGCCGTGGTCATATGCGCCGTATGACCCAGAATAGGGATCCATCTTGTGCGCGCTTGCGCCGAAAGGGGAGATGTGGCAAAACCAGAGGCGAAACGGGCGCTGAGCTACATGAAAACTGCCGAAATGCGTCTAATCCTCCCCTCGACGAGCTCCTGCGAGCTTGAAGCCAAAAGAGGAGTGGTTTTTCGTTGCTGAGGTTTAGATGGAGGTGAAGTTTGGAGCATAGTGGACATCACAGCGTCCTCACAGCGTAGATCTCTCTCACTATCATCCTGGCCGCACCAGATCATGCGCGTTGTCCGTGTGATTGCATTCATCCTCGCTGCCGGAGCACATGGGGCTGCCACAGGGCCCAACTCGCCCTCGCCAAACCGCCCACAGCCACCAACCAGCAGCGTACCGAAGGTTTTCCACGCAAGACAGGTGCAAGGCTGCAGCCACTATGTGCAGACAATTGTGTTGGTTGTCCTTTTCAGGCGTTGGATGGCAACCTGCGGCAGGTCGCGTGGATTGGCGGCGAACTGCCAGACAAGTGCAACCAAGAGTAAGAGGGAACAAGGAGCAACACAACAGACTTGTACTCGCTACGTATACGCCCTTTCCTTGATCAGGTGTCGTTCGTCGTGTCTGGCTAACGCAGCCCTCCGCCCCTCGACCACAGACGACTGCCTCTTCCGCTGCTCATGCCTTGCCACACCTTCACGAGCCATAGCCGTCACATCCACTGGAAAGGCCTATATTGCCGAGCCGCATAGACTGCCGCAGAAGAGTCGAGAGAAAGGCTTTGCCTTTGAGGAGCTCGGTGAGCGGCTGATGGGTGGATTGGTGCTTGACGGACCGCAGGGCGTCGTACAAGTGAAAGCCAGGTAAAAAGAGAGATGTGATGCAGCGCAAGCGTGTTCATATCTGCGTCTATCTTTGTCGTATGGATTGATGTCAGCCCAGTGGATCCTCGTGCGATGGTTGTGTTGACCAACACACGAGTGTGACGTGGATCAGCATGGATGGGGCCGTGACGCTGAGGCCATTCAGACTGCAGGCTCACTTGCCGAGGAGAGCGCCAGAGACACACAGTGACATCAAGTATGCGAGAATCGACACACAGACGACACCATCATTCTCTCTTGCCGCCCATTCGTGCAGGCTGACAGGGTGGACGTGGCATCCATACGTGTCTAGCTGGGTGAGTACACACATATGGACGCACGGACATGCCCCGCACACACGGACATATGTGCACATACATTTTCTCGTACCGTGTATGGCGCATGTCTCTTGGTGTCCGCCAGGCACTAGCAGAGGCCTTGCTTGACCCTGTGTGCCAGCCGTCCCCCTACCAGCACTGCCACAAGATCCTCTTCGTCACACGTGACGCCGGCGTGTCGTTCGAATGGGTGGCATCAGACGTAATTGACCACTACTGGGGCGTCGCACACTCTCCAGACCCATCAGCACACGCACATGAAGACCGTCACGAACACCTCTTCCTCGACATGTTCCCCTCAGTCAAGGTGAGCTCAATAGAGAGACATGCCGATCGATGGGTGAACGTAGAGGCGTCGGGTATGTGTGCGTCAGCGTCACAGTATGGAGGACATGCGGCGGCTGTATATCGTCAGATGCGGCGCGTGCACGCAGCTGTCACGACCACCGGCACACAGTAGAAAGGAAAACAAAAGTGAGAACATGAACCGGTCACTTGATCTACCCACGGACTCTTGCGTTTTTCGTTGTCAGAGCCGTCCGGCGACGCTGCTCGCCTTGCATCCGCCCCTGTAGACAGGCCAGTGGAGTTGCCTCAGGACGTTTATGCCTTCCGCAAAGGGGCGCCGTCACGCCACGGCCACAGAGGGGCCGACACAGCTTCATCACTGCGTCGCGGCCATGGTTGGTTCGACGAGGAGCTGGATCTCTTCGAGACGATCAACTTCGACGCCGATGAGAGAATCGTCATGAAGGGGGCCCAGAGGTGGGCAGGGTAGGACACAGGTGGGTATTGCCAGGGTAAGCGCATTTGTGTGTTGGTATGGTGCAGGTATCACTTTGCGAGTTCGTTCATCTTTGCCGTGGCCAAAGAGAGCAACGACGCACACAGAGTACGTCATGCCAGAGGCAGGGCACATGTGTGTGGACGTGGATGTGTGGAGGCCTCAGCTTGCTTTGTGGGTGTATTCGCGAGACCATCGATACTACAGACGGAAACCCAGTACGCCCACAGAAAGGCTGAGAAAGCTGCATCCATGGCTGAGAGTCCACGGTTACTGTGTTTCCTCTGCAGCTTTCAGCAAGGCATCCTTTCCCCCTGATGTGGTTCTGACCGACGCGCAGTTGCTCGATATGAAGCTCTTGGTTGGACCCTACAGGCACACCAAGAGACATGGACTCACAAGCGGCGGTTTGTGTGTTTTGTGCAGTGGACATCTGCTGACCGGGCCTACATCTACCTTCCGAGCACTTCGCGACAGTTGCCGTGGGGACACATATTCACATGCGACTTCAAAGTATCCATACACCATCTTAACTACACAGCCAGATGCACACGGCCAACTGACTGGGGCTTCCTTGCTTTCAATGCAGGGTCACCGATTCAAGCTGTCGTTGGCGTTTGTGGCTGAAGACCGGACCACCGGGCGTGTGCAGTGGGGCCACATGCCAGGCATCCCTGCTGCCCTGGTGGCCAATCGTGTCCACACCTAGGGAGAGGGCTGGTCTGACGTCATCCTTGGCCTCGCGAGACAGGACGACCACACCGCGGGTCAGCCTCTTTGGCGAGTGGGGGATGGTGGGGCTGCTGAAACACAAGATGACGCGCAAGACACACAGGTGGGGGGGGGGGGGGGA